AAAGTCCCTCTCTCTCTCTCTCGCGCGCGCGCGTATTAGGGTTTATTTTTCAATAAATATTTGTTTAATACTTTGGATGGGGATAAATATATTGATTTTGATGTACATACAGTGTAACACTAATCACCCAGTTCGATATTCCCTATATTCATGGGAATTGGGTGAATTACTTATGAATTAGATGAAGAAATAACTCCGTTGTGGAAAGTTCCAAAAAGTTGTTCTCTGAAACACAAATAATACCGCAATTTTTTAATAAAGATATGTATATTACTGCATAAAGTGTTGGGATAAAAGAGGTATGCAACTGTGCAGATTCTAAGTAAAATTTACGTAATATAATTTTAAGTTAATGTCAAGTGTTTTTGTGGAACAAAAATAAATCAAGTAAAATTTTGAAAAGTATGAATAGTCTGATTTTGGTTAAAGGTTATACCATACCCACGATAATTTTAAAGTTCACTTGAAATTTATACTTTATAATTAGATATTAGTAAAATTTATCTTCTTTTGTCTATTGTACTGGCCGCCAAGATGATCTATTAACCAAATTACATAATGTTAATTTGTGCAAACATTTTATTTGCGAATTGCGAATAGAGTCCATCCAGCAAATGGCTATTTTCATGTTTCTCAACGTTTCATGACCTCAAGAGATTGAAAAATAGGTCTTTTACCGTCTGTTTGTTGTCAAATTTTATATGAGGAATATTTGGAATATCATGTGGATGATAAAACGCTGACCAAAATTTGTCTAACTGTTCCCACCAACAATGTGATGACGTCAACGCAAAATTTTGCACAGGAAATGTTATTTAAATTTCATAAAATAACATACTTCTACATCTGCGATTTATGAATTCACCCCTAATTTTTACCTTGAATATTTAAATTTTTGGAACAAAAATAAAAATTGCAGAGCAATCGAATGTCCTGAAATTTTGCAAATGTTTAAAGTTATCGTAAGCGTGGTAAATTGATAATGAAGATCTATCCATGTTTTGTAATGGAAAAACTCACTTCCAACACACGGATAGCATGCGCTTTTTGACACTACACACGTCTTTATTTTAATTTCTATCGGTTTTTTTACCATATAGAACATAAAAATTGGCATAATTATTTTTAATGATTTATAATTTTTTGTAAAGTATGTTGTATTATGCTTGCGACGCGGAAGAAGTTCTGTTTAAATAACCAATTTTTGCTTTTTTTACTGGGTAAAGGTGGTATCTTACCAGCTTTTGTTTTTTCCGTGTGTCTTTTCCGAAATTAATTTTGTCACATCGACTGTTCTGAATTAATAACCGTTAAACTGAGTTTGACATCGAAATGACAACTGTCTGGAACACAATGTCAAACACTACGACATACGGAAAAAAACAATAAAAGGAAAACATCGCTCCGTTTTAAAGTCTAGATTTATCCTTATTGTTAAATAAAGTTTAGGTTATTAAACTAGAAAAAAATTGGCTAATAATAATTTATACAGTAATTTTTTAATGAAAATAAAAATAAACATCAAGTTTCCTTCACATCAAGTTAAGAAAATTAAATAACATTCAGAATGTGCTAGAAACTATAAATAATGAAAATGACGGATAAGTTCGATGGTACATTGTTAAGAAAGAAGGCAGGCCCTGAAGAACTTGAAAAAAATGCTAAAAAAATTTCCGGACCAAATTTTTCGAGATCTTAAACTTCAAAGCTGAAGAATTGACTTCGTTTTTTTTATCACTCGGTATAACAGCAGGATCTACTCTGCCCAAGCGTAACTAGGGTATATTAGTTACCGACGATTTTGGGTGAGGATTTCAATGTGGATTTCACAAAAGAAAAATTAAAACATTTGCGTTACAAAGGTAAAGGAACGGAGGTGGCACTAAAATAATACATAATTAGAAAAGCCCATTTGGCAACACAAATTTAGTGAAATTTTATCCAACAGTTGGTACTACATTGCTTACCTTGGCCAATGCCAATTTATAATAATTTATTTCACACCTACTAGGTTTAACGAAGTGATGAATTGTCTGTTGCCTATCTCAAAGTCGTGCCACAGTGTAGAGATCGTTCAGTAGCGACAACTCGTGTGGGCGCCTTCGATCTTTCTATTTCTACGTGTCGCCACCCAATTTAAAAACTATCACAATCGCAAAATAATTAAAAATAGTGTAAAAACACTAACATTTTGTAGTTGATCTTAGAAACCACACAGTCTATTATAACGATGGCTGTAAAATTCAACGTTATTAGAAAACGCTAATATACATTTATTTTTTTTTTTACAAAAAATTAAATAATAAACAATGATCCCATCAAAACATGAAGAATGTTTTTTAGAATGTCTCTGTAAAAATTACATTTAACTGAAATATTTCCACCGGAACATCATCCTTAAACCATCAAAACCAATGCAACTAAACTGCCAAATTTCAAATATCAAAGTCACTGGATAACCAAAGTACTGCAGTTCAATGTTCCAATGCATGAGAGACAGAAGTACCTTTCGTTGCGCGCCCTCATACGGTCACAAGACAAACGACCACCCATGAAAACGGGTCAGTAAAAATAGCGTGTTGTCCCTACTGAATCATCTCTATACTGTGGTCGTGCAACGTTCTTTTATTGTAGTTTTTCTTCTTAAATGCCAGCAACAACATTCAGGAACTTTCAAGGTTTTAGTAACTAAAGATCTTGGCTAAATTATTCAAGTTTCATACTTAATTACACTTTTTTTCGAGTCATCTTTATATCCGAAGTACACAGTCAGTCGGTTTTTTCCCAAATAGAAAATTTGATACCGTTACAAATGAAAATTTGTGGACGGTGAATAAGTCTGATCCGTCAGGCTTCGGGTGAAACGCTGAATCGGGTAAACTCGGATTGGAAGCCGAGCGAACCAGGGAAAAACAAACAATCGGCATCGCCCCATTGCTTCTTCCTCAACCCCCGTCGCTTTCGTACTGTCGAATGTAATAATAATAATTCTCAACCATACGGCTTAATTAAACAAATTATCTCTTGTGTACCAAACTGGAAGCGAAAAATGGACAAATAATCATAATTGTTGCCATTTATATCTCACCTAATCAAAGCGTAAGTAAAATTAAATTATCCATGAAGATTTACACATTTGTACAACAACTATGCTGCACTCTTTTATTGATTTTTTTAAAAACCACATTGAATTTAAATATGTCGAAGGACCCAAATGAAAGTCCAATAAATTATTATGGAACTATGATCGACAGACTTTTAGATATTTAGACAGATTTCAATCAAAAGTGTTTATTTCGTATTTTAGTTGCCACAAACCCATTGTTTTTTTTTTTTTGGATTTTGATAATGATTTTGAAAGTAATACGATTGAAAACAAATAATTTTATTTTATAATTTATGTATTGGTCATGATTTGTCGAAGTAATGTGATCCATAATAATATACTACAGTCTATAATATTATATACGTACTACTTCGAATTGATTTTGGTCTTAAGCACATTTTTTTTTTGTTGATTTTTATTGCCAGAGCTAGAGAAATATTATATCGGGTCGTTTCATGCCTTGTAGAGTATGGAAAAGTAGGTCTTCCGTTTCCGTCTCTTTGTCTTTTGTCGTCTATTGACGATTTTATAAAAGAAATAATCTCCGAATACCACTAAACTAGTAGTGGTAGTGAAATTTTAGGTGTTTTTAGGAATATCGTGTAGATGCTAAAACGCTAGCCAGAATTTATCGAATCGTTCCACCAACAACTCTATAAATATTATGTTTCTGTAGTTGTGGTTTATTAATTGGTTCCTATTTGTCGCGTAGATATTTAGATTAAGTTACGTATGAAATTTTGTCGCACTTTACAAATTGCGCAGAATTTTTGCACATTTACCAACAATGAAACGAGTGTATGGGTGATTTATACCAAGGTAATTAATTGTGCATGAATTAAGCGCATAAAATACGATCGTATCGCCTGAGATTGTTTCCACGTGAACGCAATAACCGTTTTTAGTTAAAAATACAAACATAATTCCTATTTTTTAAAAGAACGATAATATTTTTCATGAAAAGGTCTTGATGAAAATCTTACTCCAAAGATAATTTTATTAAACATTATTTTAAATTATAAATCGTATCTGTCAAATTACTTGTTTTATTTCTTTCCCATTATTTTTAAAAATAAATTTTTAGGGATACATCAGTTTGAAATAACATTAGATGTTAAACTAAATTTAAGTAAGTGTCACCTTAAAGTTGGTGCCAAACTCGCAAAAGTCTACTATACTTAATTATTTTAGCCTTATATACTTGGCGTTGCATGTATAATAAAAAATATCAGTATAACAACAAACAAAACTAATGGAACTGTATTAAATGTTGTTTAAAAGGACGTTTTTCGTTAATAAATAGGTGCATACTAAAATACACCACTAAAAAATGGTCTCGGAAAACTCATGCAAAGAATATAAATCTGCTAAAACGATTAAAATTTCGACCTTGTATCATTCCGTTGTGGTTTATTTTCCCTGAAGAAAGCAAGGAAATTTAAATTTTTAGAGATAGGCAACCAAGATTTCGTGTAACCGGAGAGAGTGGTTAATTATCGCATAAATCTGCGTGGCGCTGGTAAATATTAACATAAGAAGTATTGAACTCTACTGAACAAAGCTGGTTTTCACGCCTTGTGGTTATCTATTATAAAACGGACGAAGACCAACACGTCCTAAATGGGGTTCCACGAAAATCAATATAGGGGTTTCCCGCAGCAAACATGCAATCAAAAACGTTTACTTAATTTTTTAGAACATTCATTTTCTTATTTTATTTGTAACCACACAATTTAAATTACAAATATCCTTCAAGAGTTTTATATCCAAAAATGGCATTGTTACTTTAAGAATTCATTGTCAATCTATTTAATCTGTTTTTGGTGATGACTGTAGGTTGTACCCATATATTTGACACTCAATAAAACTCAAAATTTTCTTAATAATTATATTTCTTTATGATTGCTTCATTACATTTTTGTTGTAGTTTAAAAGAACGGAGTAAGTAACTTGAATAAAAATGATCATACTAACATACAATTATACAACGCAGTATATTAATAATATAAAATACTATTTACGCAAAATCAAAATAAAATTACAAAATATACAAAATTAAACAACGTATAGGTTGCTAACACATTTAACTGTACATTATCACAGCTACATCTATCCATCTGATTTGGGGATTATCCAAAAAAAAAAAAAACACACACAAATTGAAAAAGCTCATGTTACGGCTTCCAAATTCTCAATATTAACAATCCCCAGTGCGATGGAAACGCATGTTATTAATTGGAATTAAAAAATGGATACGAGATCGCGCTACATTTTAGACGATCCAGGTTTATCTGGTAACGGCCTAAACGCCATGTTGCTGGAAGCCCGCGATTTGAGAGAATCCTTGTTCTCGCCCTCCGACTCCCTATTCTGTCTCACTTCTGAGTACAAGTGGACAGCGGCATCAGAAGGTTCTGAGTATTCTCCGACCAGTGGCGGTCTGTGGTTGTCATCGGCATCGATGTCTTCAAAGTGAGTATTAAATTTTTCTTCCATTATTCGCAGAATGCTCCGAGGACCGTTTTCCTGTTGTTTGTTGGGGTCTTGACTTGTGCTGGTGAGCTGTAAGTTACCGAGTTCTTCGTACAAGTGGGCGTCCTCGTCTTGCTGGTTGTTGTTTTCGATGCCACTACTGTGTATATACTTCTGGTAGAGTTGCTCAATCATTTCACAAGCTTCTTGGTGTGTCATCGGGTCGTCTAATTTTTTTGATAAGTCTTGCAACAGCTCCATTGTTAAATCTTCTGAAATATCGAGCTTATCTCCATCGTCTACGGTTTCTATGGTGTTTTCTTCATCGTTACTGTGCTCATTTTGTATGTATTGCATTTTCCTGAAGTAACCTTTACGTTTTAGCCACCTGCTACCTCGTATCAACATTATGATAAAAGTTACGATCACGAGTAACACAAGAACTGAAGACGTGCCGATGATAACCGCTAACCAATCGGTTGTAGGAGGTGGATCATCGTTTGCGAACATCGTATTTGTGGAGTTGACGATCTTTGTTTCTCCTCGGTACGGTTCACAAACTATCGTATTATTACTATTACAAACTAATTCTGTAAAATTCTGGATATTAATAACTCCCACTTTCAACTCAAAACATTTCGAAAGCAGCTCGTTTACTCTACAAAACGTATTGTTGACGATCTTGTTAATTTTGCTCGTAGCGTTAGCATTCATTAACTCCACGATCCATTCGTCTAAGGTACAATGGCACGTTTGTTCGAAGAAGTTGTCTTTAAATATAAAAACTCGATCTTCTAAATCTGGCACGAAACTTAAGGCACCTGGTTCGGACTTGTACACTTCGTTTCCATTGAAAGAAAACCTCACCACGTCCGAGGAGAACGGAGCAACGATGGAGTTTGCATGCAGGAACTGGACTATGTTGTGTTCGAATGCTATGTTGCTCCAACCGTTGAAAACAAAACCTGTAGATTGTAAGTTTCCGATTTCGTTGTCCGAAATGTCTACTGTGACTACGGTGCTATGTATGGCGCCGCTTTGAATGTCTGTTATGCTGCAATACAACGGTATTTAGTAGTGTGGAACGACGGAGGAAGGTGGACATTACCTGGAATGTTGAACATTTAGATTTTCCATACTAGCAGTTATAGCACCGGCTTCGATTTTTTTGATGTTGCATTTTTCTATCTTAAAATTATAAATTAATGTTCGGTTGATGAATGCACCGCCGTGGATGCGATCTACGTTTGTGTGGAGGAAGGATATGGAAGAGATCTGAGTAGGTGAGAAAGCGTTACTGTGAATTTCTCCTATGGAAGACTTGTGGAATTTTACTTCCGCCAAAGTAGAAAAGAAGGTGTGTTGAGGTATTGTCGCTATTGTCACGTTGTCGAACAAAATCTGTAAATAAAAAACCTGATTAGAAATAAGAACTGACAGATTACTAACTTCAAAAACTATAGAAATTTGATTTTAACTAGAGTTTTTCAGAATTGGGTTCGTTGTGACTTAATATATACGTCACATGTCTATTAACTACTTTAACTGACTTAAGCAGGTAAGAAAACTATCTTTGCATATTGTCATAACCAGCAACACAACCAATACCGCACGCATTACAAGCGTACTTTTAAACCAACGTTCAATCATATTTGAGACGACGTCATCAACTTTCCGGAGGAGGTAAAAATGAATAATTCATCAATACCCAATAAATTTATTGTTTTCGGGTAAGCTATAAATGAACAATTAACAATAATGGTAGACTATTACACCATATGTACGATTAAAAACCGACATGATGGGCATGGATACGAAAGGCGAAAATGGATGTTTCCGTTTTGTTTAATGGGACATTTGTGAAAACAACATTGTTACTGTGGCTGTTACTATCTGTTGGAAAGTAAAAAATAATTGTCTCTGTAACTATCGCCTGAGAAAAAAAAATAATTTGAGTAACAATGTGTACATTGTCGAAAAGATTGTGACATCCTACGGAACTCAATTATTATGTTCCATCAGCAGAAAACAAATGTCGAGAAGGACAAAAATTAAACATCTAACCACCTTTTAGCACTTTAATTTCATTAAAAGCCCTGAGTAAAAGCTAAATGAATTTTATAATAGGATCAGATGTGACAGAATACGAGAAAATCTGGTTCCCCATTTCAAATAATCTTCAAATTATGCGTGTGTATACAATAAAGAGTTAAATTTCGTAAAAATGGACAAAAATAAATTTCCCCCAATATTTTGCTAACTATAGGAAATACATACATCAGTTTAAGTATAACTGAACGTCAATCCGAATACAATAGTTACTTGTGTATTAAGGACATAAAGATGAACTTTTTCGGCCAAGGCCTACAAATCAGATGAGACCGGAAAACTTACTTCTCTTTGGCCGAGATACACACAATGTTTTTTAGGCGACCATACAGAAAAATAATTGGTTCTGTAAGTGCTTTTGAGGTTAGAAAATCTTTTTTCGTTGTTGGAGGAAGTCCTGTAGATTTGATAAAAACCAAAGTGCTCTATGTTGCTCTACTACGAAAAAAAAATGGTACCGCCATGTTTCATAACGATATTGAGTACAGGTGGAGTTCAAATAATGACGCTGTTTTTTTTTTAATGTTGGTCAAAAAAATACGGCCAAGAACGCGAAAGTAGCTATTTGATATCTGAGTACAAAACAGTGACAAGTGAGTCCAAAAAACGACAAGTTTTGTAATGGTCGCCTAAAAACACTTTTTTTTATTTAAAGGAACCATTTATCATACGTGTCCGGCGCCCTTTTAGGGTCTTTCAGATCTCAATAATTGGAAAAAAAATACTAATTTTTTGCAAAATTAATTTTCACTTCCCGAGCGTAATCTAAGGATTTATTGTAATACATCTCCGAAACCAATGGATTGGTTGTTGTCAAAATTGTATAGGTATATATTTTAGGAATATCCTGTAGATGGTAAACTCTAACCAAAATTTGTCTAATAATTGCCACCATTAATTTGATGACGTCAGCTCAAAATTTTGCATGGTAAATGCTATTAAAATTTTTCAAAGTAACATATTCCTGTGCCCTGTGCTTGTGATTTTTACCCTAGACATCCAGATTTTCGCAAAAAAATCTAAATTGTATAACAACTTTTTATATAGGGTGAGCAACATAATTCGTGATCGCAGTTAGCAGTGTTTCAAAAAACGTATGTCGGGACTTTCAGCTCTTAACCTATCTCCCTTGGCTGTCAAAAATTTGACCGTAAACGTCCAGACTTTGACAGATCGATGACTTTTTACACAAACGTATCATCATTCAAGTAGAGATTCAAAATTTTGTTTCCAGAGTGTCTTTGCTCACCCAGGCGTCATGCAAATAACGTGGGTTCGATTTCCTCATAGGCCATACTTTTTTTTACATTATAACTGCTATTATCTATATATTTTTTTTAACTTACAGGGGTTATCATGAAAACAAAATTGCGCGCAAAGTTAAATTTTATCATTATATTTTAGGTTATGGTTATGTTAAACTCTAGGTTTTACCCGAGACGTCCAGATCTTTGGAAAAAAATCAAAATTATAAAACAATATTTTGCAATTTAATTTTGAATCTGCAAAACCCAATGCTTTGAAATCTTGCAGATGTTTTAAAGTTATGATAAGCATGATAAATTTTTAATCAAAATATATTTCTTTATCCCCTCCAAAAAGTTAATGACGTCAGCTCAAAATTTTGCCAAATGAATCCCTATCTAAATGTACACAATATGATGAGTCTGTATTTGTGGTTTATCATTCCATTTATATCTTTTAGATTTGCTTATACAGGTGGCCCAAAAAATTAATGAATCAAGAACGGCTCACTCCACTTTCCCAGAAAATTTTGGAAATACAATCCCCAGTGTTATTTTTCACTTTCCATTTTCATTTTACACTCAAAAATTCAGTGAAATGGAGAAAGGAGGTGGGCGGGGCTAAATTTAGCTTTTTTCTAATTTTATGAACAAGCAGTAGTCACGCCTACCCACTCCTTGTTCATTCCAGTGACTACTCTTAATATTGTTCAGTTCTATGTTGGCAAGTTTTAGAACCGCCCACCCACCCTTTTTTTCTTAGAGGATATTCATTTATCAAAATCAATCTTATCTTAACAAATACTAAGCCCCGCCCACCCGCCCCCTATTTTCTTAAAGGGTATGTCCTTTGCCACAAACAGTCTTATCTCAGTAAGTACTAGCCCATCATTTATTTTCTTAGAGGGTATGTGATTTACCAAAATTAGTCTTATCTTAGCACACACGCTAATTCTAATGATTTTATCTCTCTTCAATTGAGATCCACCTTTCATTCGGGCTAGATCAAATGAATCACTGAAATGGAGGCGGGGTGGGTGGGCCGGGTTAATTATATGTTCTTTTGTAAAGTGGAAATGGTAACTAATAGAACGTAGGCTGTTAACTAAAAAAAAAAGTGTTAATCGTATTTTTTTGTTATACTACTTATTTGCTATAACATTTACCTCTTATTTCAGAAGAAGAAAAATGGGAGGACGGGTGGGTGGGCGGGGCTAAGTTTGAATCTTTTATAAGCAAGCAATAGGCCCGCCCACCCACCCCCTCTTCATTCCAGTGATTCCTCTTAATATTGGTCATTTAGCAAAATCAAGCTTATTTAACAAATACTAGCTCCGCCCACCCGCTCTCTATTTTCGTAGGGTATGTAATTTGTCACACTCAGTCTTATCTGCAAGTACTACACTGCACTAATCCAAGTTGCGAGGGAAGTTCTGTCCAAACAACTTTCGAGCAATTTTTTCTATTGAGTAAATTTTACATCTTTATTAAAAAAAAATAATCAAAATCAATTTAGCTATTTTGACAGAAGACGCAGAAATAACATAAAAATCGTTCCAAGGTGACAAATGTCATTTCTCTGTCATATTTCAAGTATGTTACATTATGAAGTCAGGAATACCAACCCACAAAACAATTCTGTAACTCCATCAATTAAAGCATTGCTTTCAGCTGAAAAGGTGGTTTAATGGCAAACGAAATTCGCTGTCAATAATTTAAGATGAAATATTTCTTAAAAAATATCACATTTTATTCAAACATCTGTAGTTCTGTGTATGAGTTAAGAATGCATGTTACTGTACACTTATTTAGTTAAGTTTACTTTGTGAAATCAGTGTAAAAAATGACATCCAAGAAACAAAAATCCTGTTTTTTTAGTTTTTGAAGTGTGGACAAAAATTGCAGCCAATTGAACACCTTTTAAATTTGGAAAAATTAGAGCCCACATTTTATTAAGAAGTTCGTCCTTCTAATTTTCAATTATTACAACTTTCACCAGATGAAACTTTCCAAGCTTTTATGTGGTTAATAATTGAGTTTATAATCAAATTGATTACTGCTGATTTCACATAAAAGACACTACCAGTGCGAAGCCATAAACATTGTAAAGAATGACCCAGTGAACTAATTAAATTTAAACGATTTGCTGGCCTCGTAAAGCTGTTTTACAAACCCGACTGGTACTTACTGTAGTAACGGGACCATGTTTTCCAATATTTCCTTGTTTCTTGAACTCGAATGCCTCTGCAGCCAACGTTAATTTCGGAATTTCTTTAAAAAGGGCGGATCTTAACTTGCTGAAGGCGGTCTTTTCCACATTCACCGAAGCGCATCTTATAATTTCCACTTCTATGGAACTCTGCAACAAACGACATTTAGGCGAAACATGACGGAAACAAGCCGTAAAATCGACCATTGTGCCTCCCAGAATGAATGTAATAAAAACGATGACACAACTTCATCGTTGTTATTAACAAGCGGATAATTTCAGACGTAATTTTAGGTTTTATTGTTAGCATCTTACTCCTATGTCCTTCGTAATTAAGAAAGGCAACGCAATGGTGCATTTGGTGTACGCAAACTATGCCTACCTGCAAACTTTCGAATGCGCCAGTCTTTATGCTTAATTGATCACAGTTCTGTATTTGAATTAGTAGACTAGGAGTAGTTACATTGCGAAAGGACTGTTTTTCCATCACAAGCGTACGGGTGCTGTCTATGCGAAGGAGGGTTAAGCCGGTCATTTGATCGAAGGATTTTGGACCTAGGGTGATCCGGTCACCACCAGTTATGAAAATTTCGGACGCTTCAGGAGGTATTCGAAGGAGGCCCAGCTTCATCTCCTGAAAAAAGAATACTATTATGAAATCATGTTTAGAAAAATGTCTGCCATTTGCCATTCTGTCAAATATCCATTCGTACGTAATTAACATTGTTTCAAGTTAATATAAACACGAAGTATGAACAAGTTTTGAAAGCTGCAGTTTTGGGAACGCATGAATATTTCATCTACATACAAGTAATTGAAAACACGTTTACACACTCTTAACAGTTGAAAATCACAAAAAAACTGTAACCTTGGATTAGTTTCGGTCTCAGCTAATATTATGTAATGTGAGAACAACATTTCAGTGAATTATAATTAATTTGCTGTTGAACTTAGTATTAATAAACATTAGTGACACGTGTAGGAAAGGACCTCTTAATTTAGATAATAATAATATTTAGACGAAAAAATTGGTCTAAGGTTATCGTTCGATTATTCCGACACTTGATTTAAGTGGATATAATTTTGCTTCTGTTCATTTCACAAAAAACATAAATCGTATTTGTTCCACTTCTAACAAAATCGATTAATTCAGCAACAAAGTAAATATACTTTTGAAAATATATTTTTTTTAATTCTTTATGCTTCCAGCTAGTTTCGCAAAAGTTCCAGTGAACCATTTAAAATTGTTAGCTAATAAAAGTACTTAGGTATACCATAAGTACTTCTACGAAATTAATCCATTTGTAAATCATCAAAATTTTTCAAAAATCATACAGCACGAAAAAATAGGTTCCCATTTCCGACTGTCTGTCTGTCTGTGTCGATTTTTACTACACATAATCTTCAGAACTATTCGACTGATTATTGTCAAATTTTGTATGTGTTTCAGGAATACGGTGTAGATGATGAAATGCTAACCAAAATATGTCCAGTCATTCCCGTCAACAATATGACGTCCTCTTAAAATTTTTCGTAGTAAATGGGATTCAAATTGTATAAAATAATATACTCCTGTACTTGTGGTTTATGAATCCGTTTTGAGATTTTCCCCCAGCCATTCAAAATTTCCAAATTGTATAACAATCTTTTATGCTAATGTACGCGAAGTTCGCCCAAGGACATTTGTGACCGCAGTGAAATACAGTGGGTGACTTTTTTTTCTTACACTGTTACTGTTACTGATTTCGTGGATGTAATACCCTCTATTACAAATTAAATTTCGCAAAATCTGAAAATAATGAAGATACGTCCCGTCACAATCGATTAAATAGTCAAACAACAATTTGGCAATTGGTCCAGTAGTTTCGGACATATGTCTAATAAAAATCGAGACAGACAAACAGACGGAAGCGGAAGACCAAATTTTTCGTACTCCAGGGGCTATAAAATGTCCAGAAAACATGAACGCGCGGGAAGTAAAAATACAAATTCTTTACAAAATTAGATTTTATTTGTCGAACCTAAGCTGGAAAAGCATAATGTAATGTACTTAATACGGCTAATTTAATGTTTTTTCGACGTTCCATACGATAATTTTCGAAACTAATAGACCAAACATTCTTAACAAATTTTAGATGTACATATTGTTACGAAATAAACCCATAGGCCGCCCCGGTACGACACCTATGGGTTTTTTAGTATGTGGGGCGATGATGGGTGACTCATCATCGGTGACGGTGGCCGGGAGGCGTTCGCATAAAGACAAGTTTGGAGCGGGTTACCGAAAGTCTCGATTGTGGGACCTAGAAAAACCTCGAAGCGGCGTTCGCGATCTATCCAGAGGAACGTATGGGTTTAAATAGAGGCCACCGGTGGGAACAAGGGTTATTTAGCCAATTCAGTTAACGAGTCGAGTCCAGTCAAGTTGCGCCGAAATTATTTTGTGTGTAAATTCGAGCTATTAAGAAATAAATTGTTGTTTTACCCACGTCGATTTTTAATTACAATCAACGTAACAATATTTTAAGAACATCGCGTATATGGTAAACCGTTAACCAAAATTTTTCTAATCCCTACCAAAAAAATCCTATTGAAAATTAGTATAATTTTACAGTTTAACTTTAAATTACCTTGAAATTACAACACCGATTGTTCTGAAATTTTGCATGGACGTTGTAGACTTCTTAAAACTCTTTTTTTTTTCAGCGGATTATTGTATAAAATTCAATTTTTATATGTTTTAAAATCTACAAACTGAACCTTTTTTAAATTTTGGTAAAATGCAGTGAACTAATTATTACATAAAAATGAAAATTTATTTATTCATCTCCTATAGAAAGTTAATGACGTCATCACAAAAATTTATGAAATTAAAGTTTCTTAAAAATGTATTTAATTTTTAATTTAATGCATGTAATTAAGTTGATTTTATTCATTAAATCAAAACTACTTTTTCTAATTTGCTCACAGTACTACCTACCTTATTTTTTATTTTATTAAAGGTACCGTCTGTTCGGGAAAAAAAGTCCGTAGCTGTCTTTTTTTGAGTACAGTATTCTGTGATATGCAGATATGTCAAATTGAATTATTTTAAATATACGATCTGATTTGACAAATGTATGTCCCCGGATTGAGTTCACAAGAGGAAAAAAAACTGTATTTTCTATTTTACAAAAAAAATGACATGGGAATAACATTTTTTGCTTAATTCAAAACGAATAAATCTGCAATTAAAACTTCAATATTCCTGGTCTGTACCTACTCTTAAAATTAATTTTTCATATTTCTAAGTTCTTCGTTACGTTTAATTTTTTTCGATTTTAAGGACACAGCCTGATAATATTAAAATTTTAATTGCAGATTTATTCTTTTAAATTAAGGAAAACATGTTATTCCTATGTTTTTTTTTATAAAATTGAAAATACAATTTTTTTTCCTCTTGTGAATTCAATCCAGGGACATACTGTATTATATAGTTTTAGAGATTCTTATTGATTTATTTCTGAATTCGTTAATGATCATACTTTACTATTCTTTGACATAAAATTTTCTATTTCCGTCTAGAAAAAAATTCGTTTTCAAATTTAAATACTTCTGTAATCTGTACATTAGCAAAAATTTTGGCATGAAGTAACCAGATTTGTATACGCAGATAATTGTGTTAATAAATTCATTAGAGCCGTCTTGCAGAAAAATTAAATTAATTTTTAACACAACTTTTTAACAAAATGTGACATGATACATGAGTGAATTCAAAAAAAATCAAGAATCTCTAAAATATTTTTAAAAAATCTTTAATCTCCTAGAGATATAATTTGACGTGACGAACACACGGTAGAAAGACGTTATCACAAAAAAAATGTAATAAAATTGCAGAATTAACTTTTATAATTATTATTAATTTAAGAAACTACACTCGCTTAATTATTTATGCTTCAGAAGTTTGGACTAATTTCTTATTTTAAAATTTGCTGTTTCCTACTTTCCTTAAATTTTGGTTCAATTTAATGGGGTTCCCAGGAACCGTAATTTTGTATATATCGCTGTGAAAATTCTGCAGACTTCTGGAAAACAAAATGTAGCATCTACACCAAGTGTTTGCCAACAATTTCCTTACTGGGAATAAAGAAAATTTTTTGAAGATAAATAAACCGGCAAATTTTTAAGTTAGATGCAAAACATTTCAATTGGATTTACATTTGCCTCTGCAAAAGGAAAAAAATGACCCCTACACTAGACATTTAACCATACTCCCATTATAGTAAAAGAATAACAATCTGTACAAATTAATTGAGATGGTGATGTTGTAACACAATTTTTAGGTGGCCTCGTTCATTCGGATGACTCATATAAACTTTAGTAACATAGGTACGTTTGTTATATCGCCAAAGGACAAAACTGTGTAATACATGTCAAATTAAAGTTTCCCCGTAATTAGTTCAAAAACTATCACGTTTACAAAATTTCAAATGAAATCCCAGTATGATTTGCCTATCAATACAATAAAATAGATACTAAAGGGCCTGATACTTGAACCTTCAACGAGTAAGAGCAGAGGATATTAATGTGGAGTTTCGAATCCAGCGCTTTTCTCGTAAACATAACTACACAACACAAACTTTTTTTCAAACATCCATCAACACAAACCAACACCCGGCTTAACAAAAGTCGCAACTTTTCGAGAATGACCCTTGACCCGAATTTACACTTTTTTATGCCCGGTTCCCACTAATTATAATTCTGCATTAATTACACAGTGTGTATGACCCGTATAAACTTTATCGGATTGTACTTTCGGTTAGTTGATGCCTCTTACGTAAGAGCGCACTCACTGGTTGACCTGTGACACTCGTTCATTATCATCTTATTTACACGCAGCAATTATCTTTTTCCTCGGTAATTTCATAAAAAACAAAAGCTTATGTTCGTCATATACAGTCCTCGCAGAAAGTTCTAGCCAAACAAGTTTGCTGTGTAGGAGAGTTTTATGGCTTTATGATAATTGGACCATAAGGGGACGAAATGGAAAACTTGCACCTACAATCACATAGTTCCATTTCCAGTAGTGCAGCACGATCACAACATGTTGACATTGAAGGGTTAATTAACCGACGAAGAGAATGTTCTATTAAATAGTTTTATGCATGACCGCATCGAGAACAGAGCAATATAGGCTTTGATTGTTAGGACACATCAAGTAAATTGATTGCCGAGTTGAAATTGAAGACGATATCGTCTATTACGTGTTAATGTAGTCATGTTTCGTTCACTGCTGGCAACTGACAGAAGAGATAGTGAAGATAGGCGGGACTAAAGTACATTATAATTTATTTGCGAGGGGGCGCACCTACCATATTAATGTGTGTCTCCCATGTAAGGTTGGGATACGCACCGCAAACAATAGCTATAGTAGCAGCTTCTTTCTTTTTTCATTATGCGATGTAGATGATGTATTGCTCTATATACATGAATGATAAATACCTGTTACACATGAATAGAAGGACAAATCCGCGCTAATAAATGAATTCGGTGTGTGTTACATAAGAAATAATTTTGTGCGCTTTTTTGTTTTATTTAAAAATGACGACGCGACGTTGTGTACTAAATGGGAAATTAAGGACCCGCTATCTGTGT